TTTTTTAACTTGGCAACTGATGCAATTGTACTCATAATTATAAATAGTTAAAAAAAAAATTAATTATTAAAAAAGCAATTTGTATTAATTGAGCTTTAATAAAGTGTGAAACAAAATATATTTTGTCTATATTAATTTGTTTTTTCTTACTTTTTGCCTTTACATAAAATTCCTAAACATAATGATAACAATTTATCCATGTTAAACTGGGCAATTGGGGCTTTTACTTTTAGACAATCATAATTTATATTTTTTGTTAAAAATAGTAGTAGGGGTAGTAGACTAGTACGATAGTAGACTATAAGACTCACCTCACAAATATTAGGTTCACAAAATTGCATCCGCACTCAGCTAACAAATAATATGTTCAAGGTTCCATCTGCACTTGTCTCACAAACATTAGATTCAAGGTTCGCACTCATAATGTACTGCACTCAATTCTTCTGGAATTGTTGAGAAGCAACTGCTACACTCAGTGCAGTCAAACTTATTCTAAATGTGATGCAATAGCAGATGAAACATTCTATATGTGATGCAATAGCGGATAAAACAAAATAAAGATTAGCATCAAACATTATTTTTCTAAAAGGCTAAAAAAACTTTCATCTTTTATCTTTTTGTTTTAATGTAATTTTGTTTTATCTTTTATTTATTTTTTATAACAGCATTTTTCTCTTATTGATAGCAACTTAATTTTTGTTTTTCTTTGTTTTGGCATTTACTATACTATTAATATATCTTACAAAATTTTGATTGTTTAACGATTTTTAGCAAAACTATTTTCGTAATTTTTATAACTTTTTTTTTTTTTGTTACTTTTGCAATTTGTTGACTTTAAATAGTTTTTAAACTTTGTTAAATGTAGATGAACTCAATTAAAGTATAAATTTAAAATGCATCAAAAATATTTATTCAAATCTTTTAATCTAAAAAAATGATTATAAAAACTTATGTAATATATGGTTTAACACAATTGCAACTGATACTAGAAATCATTCTGGCACAAACATTTCTGTCAAACAGAGGTCTTTATTTTATTACAATTACAGCTTGCGAGTCAAACTCATCACTCAGTCAAACATTGGGTTCTGTCAAACAGAGGTCTTTATTTTATTACAATTACAGCTTGCAAGTCAAACTCATGTTATGAAAAAGAAAGCAAAACTGTTGAGTTACAATTTTACAAACTAATTTGAAAGAAAAAACTTTTTTTATTGATTTTTTGTTTTTAGACTTAACCAGAGGTGAAAAAAGTAACAAAATTTTGTACTCCAGTAAAAGTACTGTTATTTAAGTGAAATTTTACTTTAAATACAAGTAAACGTTGCAGTGCTTTTACCGGAGTACAAAGTTTTGTTACTTTTCCACCCCTGGTTAAGTTTAAAAATCAATTAAAAAAATTCTCAGTACTTTTACTGTTACTTTAGTGAAATTTTACTTTAAATACAAGTAAACATTACCAGTTAAAAAGATTACTCAAATAAAAGTAAAAAGTAGCTCATTAAAAATGTACTTAGAGTAAACGTTACCAAGTAACAGACCTGTAGAATTAAAAACATAAAAAACGTGGTCTATTCTTTTCTGTATATATTTACAAATTTATATTTAATTAATATTTTTAAAAGTGTGTTTTTTAATATAAATAACAAGATACTAAAATTTGTAAACCCAAGTAATGTAATTCGTTACTTTCCACCTCTGACAATATAACATTATATACTATAACATCTTAACATTTATAGTATTTGAAATAGTATTTGAAAAAATATTTTCAAAAATGTGTTTATATATATATATATATATATATATATATATATATATATATATATATATATATATATATATATATATATATATATATATATATATCAGCCCTTGGAATTAAGGTCAGACCTAACTGCTGATGTAAAAGTGTTTAAATGCTGACTGCATTTCTATATTTTATGGTAAAACCTTTGTATCAAATTTTTTTTGCTGACCTGTAAAAGATTGAGGTCAGCAAATAATTGCCAACCTCATTTTTCTTAATTCCGAGGGTTGATATATATATATATATATATATATATATATATATATATATATATATATATATATATATATATATATATATATATATATATATATATATATATATATATGTATATATATAAATATATATATATATACATATATATATATATACATATATGTATATATGTATATATATATATATATACATATATATGTATATATATATATATATATATATATATATATATATATATATATATATATATATATATATATATATATGTATATATACATATGTATACATGTATATATATATATACATATAAATTATGCAATATTTTTCAAACAATGTTTTTTTTTTTGGACTCCGTGATTCCTTTATGCATAATTGCATAGTGTAACCCTAATTTTTTTCCTCATAGCACAATTTAGTAAGTATAAACCCTTTAGTCTGTAAAATAAACAATTCTGGACAATTCCGACAGATTTAATAAAAACTAGATCACTATTTAAAATTTCAAGTCAAATGGAATAATGGTTCACAAATATCAAAAAATTTTAAAAAATATCAAACTATTTAAAGTTGATATGTTTCATTTGTTTGTACAGCCCATTTTCAGCAATTTACTGACCAATCTGTAATTCATGCAATTATTTCACTGGCCGGTCTGTAAATTATGCAATAGTTTTCAAATGATGTATTTTATGGATTCCATGATTCCTTTAAGCATATTTGCATGGTATAATTATAACTTGACTCCAAATTTTATTCTCCAAAAATAAGAAAATAATGTAAAAACCTTCAGGCTGTAAAATAGATGATTCTAAACAACTGCGACCAAAATTTTTTTAATCGCAAAATCAAAAAAATTTTGGCTTTCTATTTTTTTATAGTTGTTTGATCACTGTGAAAAATTTCAAATCAAATATAATCACAATTCAAAAGTTATTAAAAAGTCAGTATGACTTCAAAAATATATAAATTAGTAAAAACTCTCAGTCTGTAAAATAGGTGATTCTCTAAAATACCATATACTGTTACTTTAGTGAAATTTTACTTTAAATACAAGTAAACATTACCAGTTAAAAAGATTACTCAAATAAAAGTAAAAAGTAGCTCATTAAAAATGTACTTAGAGTAAACGTTACCAAGTAACAGACCTGTAGAATTAAAAACATAAAAAACGTGGTCTATTCTTTTCTGTATATATTTACAAATTTATATTTAATTAATATTTTTAAAAGTGTGTTTTTTAATATAAATAACAAGATACTAAAATTTGTAAACCCAAGTAATGTAATTCGTTACTTTCCACCTCTGACAATATAACATTATATACTATAACATCTTAACATTTATAGTATTTGAAATAGTATTTGAAAAAATATTTTCAAAAATGTGTTTATATATATATATATATATATATATATATATATATATATATATATATATATATATATATATATATATATATATATATATATATATATATATATATATCAGCCCTTGGAATTAAGGTCAGACCTAACTGCTGATGTAAAAGTGTTTAAATACTGACTGCATTTCTATATTTTATGGTAAAACCTTTGTATCAAATTTTTTTTGCTGACCTGTAAAAGATTGAGGTCAGCAAATAATTGCCAACCTCATTTTTCTTAATTCCGAGGGTTGATATATATATATATATATATATATATATATATATATATATATATATATATATATATATATATATATATATGTATATATATAAATATATATATATATACATATATATATATACATATATGTATATATGTATATATATATATATATATACATATATATGTATATATATATATATATATATATATATATATATATATATATATATATATATATATATATATATATATATATATATATATGTATATATACATATGTATACATGTATATATATATACATATATACACATATATGTATGTATATATATATATATATATATATATATATATATATATATATATATATATATATATATATATATATATATATATATATATATTAAACTTAGGTCTAAATGAAACGTGTTATACGTTCATTTAGACCTAAGTTTAATATATATTAAACTTAGGTCTAAATGAACGTATAGGGACATACACAGACTTGACTGCATACATTAACTAAAGATTAGGTATTTGTCCAGAAGTGTTGACACATGAAGGGATCTTTAAAAGCAGAACTAAATGTTAATTTTTTTAAATCTATTTTGCTTTGCTAGAAAGTGTTTGTAATAAATTCTTTATTTTAAAAAGTTAAAGTCTGTTGAATATAACAAAATGCTATTTGGATGAAACTTTATTTATTCAAATATAGTTTTTGACTTGTGGAAACGATTTCAAGGTGTCCGCTAATATTTCAAGGTGGATTTCCCTGACTTGTCCCTGATTTTCTACCTGTTTTTCTTGATTCAATTTAAAGTTAACCAAACTCAACTTCACAAAAAATGACCTAAATTGGTATAGAAAAATGCTCTTCAACTTCAAAAATATTAACAATACAACCCACATTAAATGTATCAAGAGTAGTTCATAAAACTGTCTGCCAAATAAACTTTTATATTACGTCTACTATATACAACTTATTTAAGTTATGTAAGTTTGATGAAGAGCCATTTTCCCTGATTTTTCTAAAATTTAACCTAATTTCCTTGATAATCTAATTTCCCTGATTTTTTTTCAGATATCTGAATTCCCTGACTTTTCCCTGTTTTCTCTGATCTGGCAGACTTCCTGAATTTAACATTGTTTTAAAAGACAATAAAAAAAACGAAGGTAACAATAAAAATCGAATCGAATGTTTACATCATAAAAATATATTGTGATATAAAAGTTTAGAAAGAAAAATAGGGAGTAAGCAAAAACCTAATAATATTTGAAACTTTAAGTTTTTGGTTTAAATTAGTTAAAAAAGGTTACTTGTTTAAAAAAACCTAAAACAATTTCATACCGAATGCTTTTTCTGAGTTTCAGTAATTAAAATTGCGAATGTTTTTATTATTAAATTGGCTAGTTACAAAACGCATTGCCATACATATACGCTATTACCATAAGCTTTGCCATATTTTTACGCGTTAAATATTGATGATCAAGATAGATAGAAAAAATAAAAAATACGTTTAATTTTTATTACATTTATGATTATATCACATAAGATTTTTATTTACTTTAAAATAATTAATAACACTCTTAACCTTAATTAAAACAGTCCACTATATTATTTTACTTCTCAGTAAGTTTTTTTTTTTAATGTATTTTTTTTCTTTTTTTAAATGTATAATACTTTATATTACAACTTCAATTTTATATATAATCTAAAGTATTATTTATAAAAATAAAAAAAGATATTTAAAAAAACGCATAAAAAATATGGCATTGCGTAAGGTAATTATTGCATTTACATATGTGTGCCGACGCTGAAGTTGGTGTCATTCAGGGCGATAACGTTTGGTATAGCCCCTCTAGATAACTGGTGGAAGGTGAAATTAAAAAAAGCCCTCTATATCTAGAATTTTATAATAATAAAAAAAAGTTACACACAGTAAAACTAAGTAAAATGTTCAAGGATAAACTTGTATCATTATAAATTATATAAACTTTATCTTTTAATGTTAAATTTTAGATCTTGAGCAAAAATTGAGGTAATCACCGTGGTCATCAGATTAATTTTGTAAACCAAAAGTTAAACTTTCCCCTTATTCATTTATCTCAAATATTTTTAGAAAAACCAAAATAAATCTATGAATATATTTAGTGTTACCAGTGGCGTTTTACAATCCTCTCAAATTGAGAACGGGCTTAAACTTTATATGGTCATAATTTTTGAATACTAAAATATTTTACTATGAAATTTAAAACTTCTTGATGAATATAAGTCTAGTTAAAAATAGTACAAAAAACATTTCATCAACTTGTTGCTCGCATGTTTGGGGCAGGGGGGGCTAAGATTTTAGGGTTTCTTGCTCTCATATCACAGTAATTTTTTTTTAAAGAATCTTTTCGCACATATGAACATAAAAAACTTTGGAATATTCTTGTTGTTTATTAGTTGGTTATTTCAAACATTTAAAAACCTTCCTATGCCACTGAGTGTTACAATTATTTTACAATTTATTTACTATTTAAAAACATCTCCAACTGGTTTAAGTGCGAAATCTTAAAGGGAAACGTTAAATCCAATCTGTCAAAGTGCTGTTTGAATAGTTTTTAAAAATTCTAGACCCGATTACGGCATTTACAATGTGATATAAATGCTATCAAATTAATATTAAATGAAAATATTATTAATAATAACATGATTAATAATAAATATTAAATACAAATGTTTTTGACTGTTATTAAAAATCTTAAAGTTTTTTTATTTTAAACTACAACTATATTTCAATTGAAGATCGCATCGGTCATTAAATTTTAGATTGCACTTTGAAGGATTGGATTTAGTGTTTTCCCATCTTAAACATCGAGAAAACAAAATGAATCTTGTTCCACTCCTTAACAAAAAAAGTGCTTTTTACTAAATAATTAGCCTTTTTATTGGAAAAACTAAAATAAAAATTAAGTTAGTTTTAAAGTTCTTAAGCATTTACATTGATAAATATATTACATGAAAGAAACTTATTAATTATAATTCTACTAAAATAGAAAAAAAAATATTGGAGCTCTATATAAGGTAAAGATACAAAAAAAAATTTAACTTAACTCTATTTCTAATTTATTCATGGCTTTATAAACAATGCAAATTTTGTCAGAGGATGTACCTCTAAATTGAGCACCTTATCTATGACACATATTTGTTCTTACTAATTTCGACTCTTTCTACTGATAATATATATATAAATATTTTTGAGATATAAAATTATCTTCAGTCTTTCTTTAAGTTGGTTGTATATTGTTAATTGTTTTTAAAAGTTGTATTTATATATTTATTATATAGTTGTATATATACAGAGCACCGCGGAAGAGCATTTGAAAGGAATTTGCGCCTCCTTCCTAATCGATGTTATGTATATATATATATATATATATATATATATATATATATATATATATATATATATTATATATATATATATATATATATATATATATATATATATATATATATATATGTATATATATATTTAAACAATTTCAAAATGTATTCTACAAAATAGAGCGCTCAATGTTCTTAAAAGAACAGAGTAACTATAAATTAGTAGAAAATCACTTTAACTAAAATTTTTTTCATTTAACACTGTGTTTTATCAATAAAGACTCATCAGAAATGAATGATCAAATTAATAAAACTTCAATTTATACCAAAAATAAAATTACATTAAATCTCCACTTTTAAAAATTTTTTAAAAGGGAAATATTATTTGAGCTCTTAGTAAGAAGTCCATAGTTGATTAAATCGACTATTCGATTTTTCAAAGTTGACAAATTTCGACTTTCGAGAAGTCGACTTTTAGTCAAGGTAGTCAAAGTCAATAACAACACTATGTTTAACAAAAATAATCAACATACATATATACAAGAAAGAAAAAATATGTCCGTAGAACGAAGAAGACAGTAAAGTCTTGTCAACAAGCACCGTTTTGTATATACAATATAAAATAAAAACTTTTCTATTTACAATGGTTTTTATAAAATAAGAATCAAATAGACATGGGCTCAAAGGATGACAATTGCGTCATCGCAATCTTTTTCATCATCTTTTTTATTATCGCATTCAAAAAAATGAGATAACAACACGTCATTGCAATTTTTTCATAGAGCCCCTATATATACTTTCAATAGAATATAGATATTTTATTAATAACTCTAATCGTGTTTAAATGGGCATAAAACTGCTCCTCTGATCAATAAATCAAATAAAGATAAAAAAACTAAAAAAATAGAATCAAATAACTTCAGAGTTACTCAACACAAATGAGTATCAAGTTTTAAAAATTTCTTTTTTAAAATTTGAAATTTAAATGAATTTAATGACTTTGCCATACATTTACATCATTTTGATAAATATTCCATATATTTGGACCACGATATGCAATGCTATATTCAGTATAATTTGTTAAAGTTTTGAGGCAGTTTATATGTGTTACTTATATTTGCTCTTAGATAATAGTTTTCATTTCTATTTATTTCAAACTTGTTAAGGTTTTCAGGAGAGAGAATCAATATATAAAAATTGAATGCTAATATATATTTATTTCAAAAATATCCATCATTGTCATATCATTTATTTTAGGTTTAGCGTGTTCATGCTTATTTTTAAGAGTAAATGATTCTCCACGCATGTTTTTGTAAGCTATAGATTTTTTTGATAGTTGCGTAGTTGCCCATGATATATCTGCATAAGTGATGAAGCAATGAATTAATCCAAAATATATTAGTTCGAGACACCGTTTATTGATACGAACGAAATCGTTACACCACAGACCCCTAACAACGGTGGGGGGGGGGAGAATTTTCAGCAGGGGCATTTGCCCCACTAATAATTTTTCAAATTTAATAATTTTGTAAAAATTTACTGAAAAAATGACTAAAAAAAATAATAAAAAAAAGGTCCAATAAACTTTTTATGGCCCCTTAATCCAGCACTGCCCTCCCCTCCAATATATTTATTTTTCCTACGGGCTTGCATCATACCAATTATAATAGTGATTTTAAATTGAATATATTATACTTTAGGAAGCTAGGATAAGTTCTCATCAGCAAATATATATATATATATATATATATATATATATATATATATATATATATATATATATATATATATATATATATATATATATATATATATATAGAGAGAGAGAGAGAGAGAGAGAGAGAGAGAGAGAGATGTTCAAAGAAACAGTCAACAGTTCTTTCACTAAAAAATTAACTTGATTGATATTACTCACAAACTTTCATTGGAAAATTGGCTTTGATTGATTGCTCACAGACATTAGAGATTTTTAATTTTAAAATAATTTAAAAAGTAAATAAATAGATAATAAAAAATACAGCTACTCCAAAACAATAAACTGGCTAAAATTGTGGTTGGTAGTTTATAATAATATTATGTAGCTCTATTCATATATCTTGTATAAAGCTACAAATACACTGCACTTATAAAATATTGAATACGGGGCTCAATAAGTTTAATCAATAAATCAAATTTTATTGGGTTTATGTAAGGAGAAATTGTTGTTGCAAAGAACTTTGCTATTAATAAAAATAAACTTTTATATAACTTTAATTTTGTTAAAAGCATACTTTTCAAAGATTGACTAATTTGTCAATCTTTAAAAAACTTCAAAAAATTAGCCTTTGAAGAAACATTTGTCTACAAGATTCAAGTTTGAAGAAACATTTGTCTACAAGATTTAAGTTTGGTGAATGAGGGCAATTTTAATACCATTTACAATCTACGCATTTAACCATTTTCTCGAGCAATCAATATATGAAATCGATTATAAAGAAAATTACTAATTAGATATCGTCTCTTTGCTTACAACACCACTTAATTCGAAAATTGGCGGTTTTTTCCTTTTTAATGTCTATCGATGGAGCTGCTCATCGCGCATCTAACCGCTGGTCAGATAATATAGATTTCAGCAAATTTTTCTGAAATCTATATCATGTGACCAAAATCCTAATAGCGAATGAATATCATTTAATACTCTGTTTAAAAAGAGAATCTATCAAAAAAAGCCATTAAATTTATTTGAGATTCAAACAAACAAAGGTGCATAACACAATTGTTGAATACTTTAACTTATTGTTGTATACTTTAAGTATATTATTGTTGAATACTTTAACTCGAGATTATTTATTTTTAAACAAAATATTTTGAACTTTAGATTTTAAATATATTTTGACTGAAGATTGTATAAACTATAATATGAATAATATTTCTGATAAAAGTAATTAACTCCCAACGGTATTTCATCCCAATTTTTAATATATTTTGATTATAATTATTGCGTGACATCCTTAACCAGTACGTATTATTAAACGATTGCGGTTTCACATAAATTTCTTTTTTTATCATATAAATTTATACTTTCTTCATGCTCCTGACTTACTATTTTAAAATAATTAATATAATTAAGCATAATCAACTTTATAACTGA